CACAGTACTTCGAAATATCTTTGTCCTTATCAGTGACATCAACAGTAACTTCAGACACATCTTTGTCCTTATCAGTGACATCAACAGTAACTTCAGAAATATCTTTGTCCTTGTCAGTGACATCAACAGTAACTTCAGAAATATCTTTGTCCTTGTCAGTGACATCAACAGTAACTTCAGAAATATCTTTGTCCTTGTCAGTGACATCAACAGTAACTTCAGAAATATCTTTGTCTTTGTCTGTGACATCAACAGTAACTTCAGAAATATCTTTGTCTTTATCAGTGACATCAACAGTAACTTCAGAAATATCTTTGTCCTTGTCAGTGACATCAACAGTAACTTCAGAAATATCTTTGTCCTTGTCAGTGACATCAACAGTAACTTCAGAAATATCTTTGTCAGTGACATCAACAGTAACTTCAGACACGTCTTTGTCTTTATCAGTGACATCAACAGTAACTTCAGAAATATCTTTGTCAGTTACATCAACAGTAACTTCAGAAATATCTTTGTCCTTGTCAGTGACATCAACAGTAACTTCAGAAATATCTTTGTCCTTGTCAGTTACATCAACAGTAACTTCAGAAATATCTTTGTCCTTGTCAGTTACATCAACAGTAACTTCAGAAATATCTTTGTCCTTGTCAGTGACATCAACAGTAACTTCAGACACATCTTTGTCCTTATCAGTGACATCAACAGTAACTTCAGAAATATCTTTGTCCTTGTCAGTGACATCAACTGTAACTTCAGAAATATCTTTGTCAGTGACATCAACAGTAACTTCAGAAATATCTTTGCCCTTATCAGTGACATCAACAGTAACTTCAGAAATATCTTTGTCCTTGTCAGTGACATCAACAGTAACTTCAGAAATATCTTTGTCAGTGACATCAACAGTAACTTCAGAAATATCCTTGTCTTTGGAAGCTTCTATTTCAGCTTCTACACCTTCAGAGATTTTCTCTTCTTCGGTTACTTCTTCCTGTGGTTTAACTTCAGCGACAATTTCTGGTTGAACTTCAGAGACTTCTTTGACCTCATCAGTCGTCTCTTCTGTAGGAGCTTCTACTTCAGCTTCTACACCTTCAGAGGGTTTCTCTTCTTCAGTTACTTCTTCCTCTGGTTTGACTTCAGAGATAATTTCTGGATGAACTTTAGAAACTTCTTCCACCTCATCAATCATCTCTTCTGAAGGAGCTTCTATTTCAGCTTCTACAGCTGCAGAAAG